ATTGTCACAGATCCTCGCGCCCCACCGGCTGCTGAGATCTTGGGGCCTACGCTCATTCTACCTGGGATTTCATCATCACTCTATGGAGGGTACCGCTACAGTTACATCAGCTGCCTGTATCTACTCCAGGGGTGTCCAAACTTTTTTCAAAGAGGGCCAGATTGGATGAAGTGAACATGGTGGAGGGGCCGAACATTTTTCCAAACATTCTTTGATCCATTACAATTAAATGCAAATAAATTATTTTATGCCAAGTTACCGTATTTTTCGCCGTATAAGACGCACCTGACCATAAGACGCACCTAGGTTTTAGAGGCAGAAAACAGGAAAAAAAAATTCTGAACTAATGGACTGCAGACACAGTACAGGAGATGACCAGAGACTGCGGACAGCACAGGGATGACCAGAGACTGCGGACAGCACAGGGATGACCAGAGACTGCGGACAGCACAGGGATGACCAGAGACTGCGGACAGCACAGGGATGACCAGAGACTGCGGAGCACAGGGATGACCAGAGACTGCGGACAGTACAGATGACTGCTGACCTTTGGGGAGGTGGGGAGCGGGTACCTGAATTTGACAGGTATCCGCTCTTACTTCCGCAGTCGTTCTTTGATCTTACCTGTTCCTCGATCCAGCCGCGCGCTGTCTTCCCGGCTTCTGTAATGGCGCTCGGCATGACAGCCAGGTGCCCAGTGCGCATGAGCGAGAAGCACTTGCGCTTTGTGATTGGTCCAGCGGCTTCTGGGATCTGTCATGTGTCCCAGGTACCGCCTTACCATTCACACAAAAGCACCGCTTCTTGGGCTTGGCACCCGGCTGTCATGCCCAGCGCCCACACAACAGAAGCCAGGAAGACAGCGCGCCGCTGGATAGAGGAACAGGTAAGGTCCCGCTGCAGAGCTGAGAGCGGCCGGCCCGGTATTCTGACACGGCCGCGGTGGAAATACCGGACCGGCCGCTCCATATTCGCTCCATAAGACACACTGACACACTGACATGGAGGGCCGTATTAAACCGACCCTCGGGCCGTAAATGGCCCGCGGGCCGGACTTTGGACATGCCTGATCTACTCCCTACCCAGTGTAATAATCTTTTCTACAATTTATTGGCTGCGGCGGGATGCATGATGTGTTCGGCAGCAATGAGATCTTATGTGAAAGCAACACCGTCGGGGGACACGCACACGTAATCGGGGAAGATGACCAAGTGATCTCCCTGTGCCGTGCCACCGGAACATATATCTCGGCAATTGGGCTTCTACACCCTGGCGTAATTTCAACCGGTTGAAGGTGTTTGTGAACTACCTGGACTTCTCTAAAAATGCATCGTACCCCACGCACCAAAACCCAAACACCGAGCCCAGCAGAAATCCCCTCCGCATAGCCACACTAGCAAACTAACGCCTAGCCCCCAGAGCCTGATGACACCACGCAGCTTACAGGGGATCCTGAGTCGGATGGCGATAGTCAGCAAACAGTTCCCATCGGGTCTGACCGGCCCTCTTGAACAAAACCCTGAAGCCTTGCTACACAAATTCCACACCATAGTGCCAGAGGAGATTACGGTTGCCTCTCGTAAATTGTCTTCTGATCTGGTAAGAGGCCTAAAAGAATTGGGCCATCGTGCCCATCAACTAGAACATCGTATGGATCTGGCGACTACGGTCTTGGAAGGCCATGAACAGGAGGTGGATGATCTGCATGCTGAGCTGGACACTTTAAAAGATAAATTGGAAGATGCTGAGAATAGAGCCCACAGAGATCATCTCCGCATCCCGCGGGATCCCTGAGGTAATCATCGATCTACAGGGTACTGCTACCGCTCTATTCCAGGAACTGGCTCCTGAGATCCCCTTGGAAAGGCTGAGAGTTTGATCGTGTCCATAGAGTTTTAGCTCCTAAGCCCAAGCCACGGAGGGCCCTCCCAGGGACATTATCATTAATTCCACTTTTACCGTACTAAAGAGCGTCTACTACAGGCGGCTCGGAATCGTCCGGCTTTGGAATTCCAGGGTCACTCTGTTCAGCTGTTTGCGGATTTGTCCTCAGTCACGATTGCCAAACGTTGTACCCTGAGACCCTACCTCCAGATTTTACAATCAGCTATTAAGTACAGATGGGGCTTTCCTTTCAAGCTCTCTTTCTCCTTCCAAGGTCGTCAGTTCCAAGCTTCTTCACCAGCAGATCTTTGCCGCGCCACTTTCAGGAACTGAAATTGGAGTTACCACACCCCCAGAACGAGGAGGCTACAGTTTCTACACGCCCTCGGAGTTCCCAGTCTTCATGTAAATCTTCTCCTCCAAGTCAGAGTAGCTCTCAGGCTCTCCGATCTCTACAGACCCAGCGTTTCCAGGAGGTTTCTGCGACTTGAAATTCTGTGCCCGGTTAGGTTTTTCATATATGTTTTTTTTTTTCTTACTCTTTGAGATGCAGGCGACATCGCCCATATGTGTTCCTATGCAGTTATGCCTTGTAGCACTTTCTCCACAGCGGCTAGTGCCTAAATAACCATGTTAGTTCTGTGTAGATGCTTCTACTTATGTCATAGTTGATGGGCGGATCTGGCGGCGGATCTCAGGCCGCGGGTGTGACTCAGCTCACTGGATGGTCCGTGGGCGGTTTCACCCCCTCCGGCTATTTTGGAGCTTCTTTATTTTTGAAGTTCTAGCCGACTGAGTTTCCTATTGCCTTACTAGCCATCTATAGGTCAATTGTTCCTGGGTTTATTAGCCTAAAATTGTTTGATTGGTATTTTCTTGCCTTAATTGAGTCGAGTAGTTGTTCCGGTGGACTATGGTGTCCCCTTCAAGCTGGTTAGTGGACTGGATTGGTGTCCTGCCCGCTATCCAGCCTTTTTGTGGGTATTTCACCCCACAGTGGATTATTAAGATGTTTGTGCTAATCTTACTGTTTCATATAAATATTGCTCGTATACAGATGGTTTCTTGTTTTCTTCCTTTTTTCCTGTCTTTTTTTTTTTTTCTGTTTTTTGTCATGTGTGTGTTGTGTTTTTTATAAAAAATTTTCAGGGCTCTTGGGATCGTGGCCAGAGATGATCTTGTTCCCTTCCGATTGCCATGTCGCTAAACTGGTTATACTTGAATGTTCAGGGGCATGAATTCACCGCAAAAACGGGGTAAAGATATTTAAGTTTTCTGCTGGGCTCGCCCATGTCGACATTGCTTGTCTGCAAGAAACTCATTTTTCAAATACATCTGCCCCTAAATATTTCGATGCATGCTACCCTCAGGTTTTTCAGGCTACTGGCCTACTAAACAAAGGGGAGTCCTTGTTGCTTTTCACGGCAATAAAAAACCCCATTTGTTCGTGTGAAGCGTATTGCTGATCCAAGCGGCAGGTATCTTTTATTACAGGGCACGATTCAGGGTATCGATGTTACAATACTGACCTATTATGCTCCCAATGTTAACCCTGGACCCTTTCTATCACATATCTGCTCCCTCCTGGCTGTCCATCAACGGGGGTACTCTTCTGCTGGCAGGAGCTTCCAATTTAGTATTAAACCCATCCCTAGATAAATACCCTGCAGAAAACTTTAATTATTCCACGTAGGTCAAATCCTTCACCCGTACGTTAAGTAAGCATGGACCTGGTAGATCTATGGTGTGAATTCCACCCCTGGGGAAAATTTATACTTACTATTCTCACCCTCATCATTCTCATTCAAGAATTGACCATGCTTTTGTGTTGCGTAAACATCTTCCCTTAGTACGCTTCGTCTTTATCCTCACGGTTCCATGGTCCGATCATGAACCCCATTTTTGGTGGGTTTGTCGATCTCTCCTCTGTAAAGCCATCCTACTCCTCTTGGATTATGAATTACTCTCTACTTTCACTGAAGGAGATTCAGGCGGAAACTAGTGCGTAAATCCCAAGAATATTTTCAGCTAAACTCTGGTCGTACGACTATCGATGAAGAGTCCAATGGCAGAGTAGGCGGCGGAGCAGAAGCAGCTTCAATTGAAGGCCATACACAGGCCTAGGTTTAAAAGTAACCACACAGTTAATTCCAATAACTGGGAAATCTCTACTCCTCCGTGCAATCTACTTACGAGGACCCTGGCAGGTCTGGGTCCAATTTGTTGGTAGAGACTGGTTTTGTTCAGCCATGCTTGAGCGTGCGAGTAATAACAGGTCTGTGCTGCCCTTTGGTGTCTGGCTTAATGCGCACAACACTGAACGTCCCAGCGTTTGTCAACGATTTGCCGTTAAGTGATGCAAACCCGTCTGAACCACGTTCTCATGAGGAGCCGGTACAGGGGGGCCATGAATCAGTATGGACCTTGGCAGCAGCTTTAGGTGAGCAGACGACAGAGGCACATGGCGCAGGGTGGCGGTTTGTACGGCAGCATTTTTCTGAAGCCATACACAGGCCTAGGTTAATAAGCGGGAAGCCGTCAGCAGCTGTGAGCAGACGATCAGAGACACATGGCGCAGGGTGGCGGTGGATGCAGCAGTATTCGGAAGCCAAAACACAGGCCTCGGTTGCGCCCTTAAAAAGCGGTCTGGAAGCCGTCAGCAGCGCGTGAGCAGACGGACAGAGGCACATGGCGCAGGCAGGGTGGCGGTGGATGGATTTCTATCGTGGCAGCAGCAATGGAAGGCCATACAGCACCCTATCACAAAATGGGAACCCACCAACAGTGTAAGGAGACCTGAAAGTGGCACATGGCAGAGTCTGGCGATGAATGAAGTCAGCAGCAATGGGAGGCCGTACAGGGACCCATGACACACTCTGGGACCTGGCAGCATAGCAAGAGGAGGCGGTACAGGGGCCCATGGCAGAGTGGCGAAGCGTAAGCAGCTTAAATTGAAGGCCATACAGAGGCCTATATGTTAAAAAGTCCCCCCAGCTAGCAGGTCGGGGAGACGACTATTAGTCGTCTCCCCACGTCTGCTCTGCTGGGGGGACTTTTTAACATAGGGCTCTCTGTATGGCCTTCAATTTTAGCTGCTTACGCTCCGCCACTCTGCCATGGGCCCACTGTACGCTCCCTCATGCTGATGCCAGGCCCGTAATCTGCCATGGGCCCCCGTACCCGACGTCTTCCTCTTGCTGCTGACCAGGCCCGTATCTGTCATGGGCCCCTGTACCGCCTCCTATGCTGCTGCCAGGTCAGAGTGTGTCCATGGGTCCCCCCTGTACAGCCTCCCATTGCTGCTGTCTCCATCGCCACACTCTGCCATGTGCACTTTCAGGTCTCCTCGCACACTGCTGGTGGGTTCCATTTTGTCATTGGGTGCTGTATATGGCCTCCCATTGCTGCTGCCAGGCCCGTAATCTGCCATGGGCCTCGTACCGACTCTTTCATGCTGCTGCCAGGCCCGTAATCTGTCATGGGCCCCTGTACCGCCTCCTCATGCTGCTGCCAGGTCCAGAGTGTGTCATGGGTCCCTGTACGGCCTCCCATTGCTGCTGTCTCCATCGCCACACTCTGCCATGTGCCACTTTCAGGTCTCCTCACACTGCTGTGTGGGTTCCATTTTGTCATTTAGGGGTGCTGTATGGCCTCCCCATTGCTGCTGCCAGGCCCGTAATCTGCCATGGGCCCCCGTACCGACCATCCTCATGCTGCTGCCAGGCCCGTAATCTGTCATGGGCCCCCTGTGACTTTCAGTCTCCTCACACCGCCTCCTCATGCTTGCTGCCAGGTCCAGAGTGTGTCATGGGTCCCTGTACGGCCTCCCATTGCTGCTGTCTCCATCGCCCACACTCTGCCATGTGCCACTTTCAGGTCTCCTCACTGCAATGCTGGTGGGTTCCATTTTGTCATAGGGCCTCCCATTGCTGTATGCTGCCTCCCATTGCTGCTGCCAGGCCCGTAATCTGCCATGGGCCCCCGTACCGACTCCTCATGCTGCTGCCAGGCCCGTAATCTGTCATGGGCCCCTGTACCGATTGTCCTCTCTGCCTAATCATGCTGCTGCCAGGTCCAGAGTATCTGGTCATGGGTCCCTGTACGGCCTCCCATTGCTGCTGTCTCCATCGCCATACTCTGCCATGTGCCACCCTTTCAGGTCTCCTCCACACTGCTGGTGGGTTCCATTTTGTCATATGGGTGCTGTATGGCCTCCCATTGCTGCTGCCAGGGCCCGTATATCTGCCATGGGCCCCCGTCCGACTCCTCATGCTGCTGCCAGGCCCGTAATCTGTCATGGGCCCCTGTACTGCCTCCTCATGCTGCTGCCAGGTCCAGAGTGTGTCATAGGGTCCCTGTACGGCCTCCTCCATTGCTGCTGTGTCTCCATCGCCACACTCTGCCATGTGCCACTTTCAGGTCTCCTCAAACACTGCTGTGGTGGGTTCCATTTTGTCATATCCTTACGGGTGCTGTATGGCCTCCCATTGCTGCTGCCAGGCCCGTGAAATTGCCAATGGGCCCCGTACAACTCCTCATGCTGCTGCAAGGCCAAAGTAATCTGTCATGGGCCCCTGTACCGCTCCTAATCATAGCCTCACAGCTGCTGCCAGGTCCAGAGTGTGTCATGGGTCCTGTGAACGGCCTCCCATTGCTGCTAGTGCTGTCTCCATTCGCCACACTCTGCCATGTGCCACTTTCAGGTCTCCTCTCACAGGACTGCTGGTGGGTTCCATTTTGTCATAGGTGCTGTATGGCCTCCCATTGCTGCTGCCTCCACCGCCACACTGTGGCTCCACACAATCTGGTTGTTTGGATCTGCCATGAGATGCCCAACCAGGACACCCCCCCCGAACCTGAAAGTGATGCGGTTGATTCTAAGATCGATGGCACTCATCTGCATGTCATACTGACTGACAGTATTATTTCTCTTCCCCATCAGACTGCCCATAATTTGGGCATTTTAATTAAAGGTACTATTGTGTTCTGCACTAATATAAAGGCTCTCTGAAGCCTTGAAACACCCTTTTTACATGGTTAAATTCGCAGCAGAATATATTTCGCCACCGAATCGAATTTATTTGAATTCGGCGAATCAGCCGTATCGAATTTTTGATTAATTCGCTCATTCTATTGTAATGATCCCTGATAACCGGATCGAACACTTCATTCCTGGCCCTGGGAAAATTTACAGACCAATTTCTCTTATTAATATTGACATGAAAATCGTTCTCACTAAAGATCTTAGCCACTCATTTAACTTTCTTTCCTTTCTTGCTTGATATAAGAAGGACCAGGTGGGTTTTGCCCACAGAACAAAAGACAAGCCGGGGAGATGCCATCAGACGTATTATACAGTTACAAACATTTGGCCCATATACTCGCTAAATTGAAATGATGCTCCTATCTCTAGACATCAATAAGGCTTTTGACCACCTTGTCCTGGCCTTATCTCATGTCGGTCCTCCATCATTTTGGCTTTGGTCCCTCGTTCTTGCGTTGGATTTCCTCGCTATATACATCCCCTCAAGCAAAACTCAAATATTATGGTTTTTGAGTCTTCAACGTTTTCGATTTGGCTAGGGGAACTAGACAAGGTTGCCCACTCCCTCCCATACTATTTATCTTGGCTTTGGAATGTTGGCGGAAGCCATTCGTATACATTCTGATATTAAGGGAATAGATGTTCTGGTTCCCAACACATAGTTATCCATGTTCGCAGACGATATATTGTTATCCCGGTGTTGAGAACCCGAGGGTTACTTTGCCAAACTTACTTGCAGTTTTGGATTCCTTTGCAGTTCTCTCAGGCTTCAATGTTAACCCTGCCAAGTCCAAAGCTATGTCGATTTACCTTCATCACCATCACTTTTGGAGACTCTGAAACATTCGTTCCCTTTTCAATGGCTTTCTTCCTTGCCGTATTTAGGAATCAAGCTTACTCCGACTTACAAAGGACTTTACTGGGCTAATTTCCCCACTGTTTTTAATGACTTGTCAGAATTGTTTGTCCTCCTGGTTCTCAATATCCGCTTTCGTGGTTCGGTAGAATCAATGCGGTCCGCATGACTTTGCCTTCCCAAATTATTGTACGTGTTTCGAGTTTTTACAGTCCCTGTTCCTTCACAATATATTGCGTATTCACCAGCGAAAACTCCTGTCTTTCATCTGGAGCTCCTCTCGACCGAGAATCAGTAAAAAAATCTTATTTGCTCATAAGACTGAGGGCGGGTTATCTGTCCCCGAACCTTCAGTCTTACTATCTGGCGGCCAATTATTGCCCCCTTAGACCACCTCCATGCATCTCACCATTTTCCCTTGTGGGCTACTGTAGACTTGATGGACTTCCACCCCGATTCCACTCTCTTCTTTACCATGGCTTCCTTATACTCATTCGATCCTCATCTCTTAGTCCGACGTTGACGATAACGCTCCATCTTTGGGACTCCATTAAATATTCTGCTGGCCTCATTTTTGCTCATCTACCGTTACTTTGGTTGCTACACAATCCATTATTTCCCCCAGGTCGTGACAATCCTTGACAGTTTGCTTGGTGGCAAGCAAATGACTTCCATGATATTCATTCCATGCTCTCTCCCACTCGGATACTCACCTTTGAAACTCTGCGCTCTTCTTACAATATCCCATTGCGGGAACATTTTGGATAGCTTCAACTCTGCCACTTTATCAGTACTTTAATACAGACACGTTCTGGACCCTACAGGTTGACCCCCTTTGAAAGTCAATGTAGACATTAACCCCATGCTCCGGGCTTAATTTCCCTGGTCTACTCTACCATTATAGCTCACAGAACTCCTCCCAATCCATTGTTATCATCAGCGTTTGGAGTCGGAACTTGGGGGCACTATAGATCAGCAGGATTGGCGGATTATGACCCAACAATTATCCAAATGTTCTAGGAATGTTATCATTCTAAAAAACGCATACAAGGAGGTTCTTTATAGATGGTATTACACGCCTGCTCGTCCAGCTCGTTTTATTCCACATATTCCCCCGACTTACTTTCGAGGTTGTCAGCAGACGGGTACCATGGTCCATATTTGGTGGACTTGCCCCAAGGTGTGCAGATTGTGGATCAGAGTTTATGCCCTTCTCCGCACTATGTTCCACACAGACATTAAACGCAACCCGTACGAAGCGCTGCTGTTCAGGATGAAGTAGGCCCATTAGTGGGCCTACTTCATCCTGAACAGCAGCTGGCATCGCACTTGTTCATGGCCACCAAGCTGACAATTGCGAGAGCTTGGAAGACTCCCCTCCTCAGCTTTGAGGCTGTCAAACAAAAAACCGGATGAACTTTATAATGGTCAACGAAAAGTTGCCAGCTATACTGTTAGACATCCATACAAAATTTTTACAGACATTGGTGTCCTTGGCTTGATATAGCTCAACCGTCAAGATTCGACCAGTCCCTCTTGTCGATATAAAACTTATATACCAGCTTATTTTTATATATTTTTTTTCTTTTCTCTGCTGCGGTCCCCCCCCTGGAGCCCCCCCCCCCTTTTTTTTTTTTTTTGTTGGTGTCAGTTTGTTTGTCTCCTTTCTCTTCGCTCCTTTCTTTCCTCTTGTCTAGTCTGTCTTCTTCAGGTTATTTGTGCTGATTGTGATTCCTGTTTTGAGTCCCATACCAGCAATACTGCACCCATGTGCTGGACTCCTTTGAGAGCCCTGCATGTTAAGTACCTCTCTGTACTCAGAGGCTCATTCTCCTATTCATCTCGCATTCTGTATGTTGATTCTGCAACAATTTTTCCTGAGAGTTTATTATGTTAGTCTCTAAATCATTTTTTGCTATTTATTGTTTTTTCTTTCTGTACGGCACTTATGTATGCAGTTTATTTTCATGTTTTCTCATCAGTACATATTCTGTATTATCCATCAAATCTTTTGTATGTTATATTCCTGCTGGTCACTGCATATGTTCTTGACTGATTCTCTGCTGTTTCCTATTCTATAATAAAATTCTTTGTAAAAGAAAAATGTATTATACAAGTTTTCCATAAAATATGTCCATTCACAACTTCCTCTTTTTTAACCCTAGCAGTCACATGATCACAAATAAACAAAATATAATCATATGGTGATTTTTTAAAAAATTACAGAGTGATAAAACATACTTAGGGGTACCTTTTTAGACCTTTGATGATATGTTAACTTTTCATCTACTTAATGTCTGAAAAATTATAAACTATAATTCTTACCAATTGTAAGGGGAACAGACTTAACTGGCATTGGCAGCAGTAAAATATGCAGGAGACAAAAACAGTCCAAGCAGGTTTATTCTGCACTTTTATTTAGAAGGGCAGCAACTAAACACGGCCACAGTACAAGAGGGCTGTGTTCAGCAGGTCTATAGCACAAAACAAACAAAACTTTGCTTGTGTGAGCCATAATGTGTTCTGTCAGCAGTCAGCCTTTTCAGCAGCAGTGGGAGATAATTTTTTTTAACTTGTCTATAGTAATGTACAAAACTTATGGTAATATTAAGTGTCAGATCAGAAAAATGTTATGAGACAAATAAAGTAGATGTATTCAGACAGAGCATAGGCATTTCCAGCCTTATAATAATGGTATCAGTAAAAAGGTTGATTTGAAGTATTGATTATGGGTGTATGGTAGATTAGTTAGGGTAACGAGGACGCTTCACACTGAGTACCAGTGACTGCCCCTCTGAATCTCAGAGAGGTAATTGATGTATTCTGAAGGGATATGGACAGGACAAGGGCCAAGATCTTGGGAAAGGGGAGGGGGAAGGCTAGTTGGGAGGGTGGTCTGGGGGTAATTTGCAAAGAGAGGAGAGGAGGGTGGTTGATTTTACATGGGGTCCCACATGATGGAGCAGTGCCCAGAGGGGTGAGTATCTCTGTGGATAGGACAAATACTTGGTGCTGCGCAGTCACCCATTGTTCACATCATGTGTGCATAGTGGAAGATGGCATCATTGCCTGTAAATAGGGTTTGTAGTTTTGAAGTATATCCGTGGCATCCATGTGGAGCTGAATTTTTTTTTGTATTATTTAATGTAGAGGTAAAATCTTCCATCTGGAAAATATTATTTATCTTTAGAAGCCATAATTGTTTGCTTGGAGAATGAGTCTGCTTCCATACTAATGGAATGCATGCTCTTGCAGATGTATGGTTACAGATGCTTTGCATTTGGGGATGGACGTCTCTGTTTCTTGGAGCATGTGACAGGATTGTGTCCTAGGTTTACCATAGCAAGTTGATTAACGGAAATGTGTACCAGTTTCCATAACGTTTGTAATTTGGAGCAAGACACCTAGCCTGGCGCATTACCACTGAACGCGGAGGGGGTGTCTCCAGTAGACTGAAGGAGTTAAGCTGTTTAACTAATTTAGTACACATGGAGCCTTAGACCACCTAGAGAGAATTTGGTACACCATTTCCTGAAGTTTGTTCCAAATGAAAATTTTAAATAAAAATCTTTCTGTTTTCATTACATGCCTTATTTAGATCCCAAAGTCTCTATGCAATGTAGGCAGACCATGATTGGTGGGAGAGGCCAGCAAGGTAGAAAGGCTCTTGGAAGGATTTAGCAAATTTCAAAACACCTTGATGGGTAGATATTGGTCTAGAGAAATGGAACTTGCAGGTTTTTGCAAGCAAACTATACTAGCATTTGCAAGCAAACCTAGGTTGCATTTGCAAGCAAACCTCAATGATTGAAAAAAACTGAAATCTAATTAATATAAGAGGCAGGCCAGGGACACTATAGCTGGAGAGGAAATGATTGAATGACACTGGATATGCAGCAGCCAGGAAAGGAGGCCGTCTTTATCTAACTTACTGCAGTTTCTAAAAGCACGGTTAGCTTGCAGAACACAGTAAAATCAGTTATAAATTGCACTACAGGAGAGCAGCATGTACCACTGTACAAAAAAAAAGTCATGGCTGAAATTCAGCTTTAATGAGGACTGGCTACCAGGTAAGATATGGACCTAATGATGGAGTCTTTTCCCACCCAAAGCTCTACAAAGCCTACATGCTCCAAGACCCAGGACAGGATCCTGAGAAAACAAAGAGGTTTATTTCATCAATATCAGACACAAACTCTGGAGCCCCCTCACCATCATACTTGACAACTGTCTTAATTTGCTGGGACAGTCCCTGTTTATACTCACCTGTCCTTAAAGTCTGTGTCCCATGCTGTGTCTCGAGATTACAGCATGAAGCCATGAGTCTGTTACTACTGCCAGCCCTATGTGCAGTGTGTACAGATGATTAATTTGTAAAGCATGCATTGATAAGCAAATCCTGACATCATTTATTTGTATATCCAATGCATGTCATTCATATGTTAATTTATCCGTCATTCATATGTAACACACCGCCCACACATGTAAATCACACCCCTCCTGAGGTCTTATTCATGCATAAATGCTGCTCACCTGAGGTATGTAAGCAATTAGGAGCAGGCTTGGAAGTCCTGCCTGCCATTCCTGCCACTTAGCCAGCCAACAGGTATGGAAGTTGAAGGTTGCTGCAGGGCTGTAGCAGATGTAGAAAAAGGAAGTTATTGTTTTACAAAGGTGAACGGAGGGGTAAATTGTGTGCAAAGGTAGACAGGTGGAGTTGGGGTACAAAGGTGAGAAGAGAGAGGGTATATAGAGGTAAGAAGGAGAGAGGTTGGGTACAAGGTGAGCAGAGGGGGAATGTGAGGGTAAGTAGAGAGGATTGTTAGCAGGTGGAGTTGGGTTGAGAAGAGAGAGGGTATATAGAGGTAAGAAGGGAGAGAGGTTGGGGTACAAGGTTGAGTGAGGGGTAAGTAGAGATGGAGATCAGAGGGTGGATTAGGGTGCTAAGGTTAGCAGGGGGAATTAGGATGAAAAACTGAACTGTGAAGGGGTGGATAAGGATACAGACATTAGGGGTGTCACTATCAATACCTCTGTTATACACACTGGCCAGTGTAAACTGTTACATTGTTGGTTAGTGTATATACCTTTTATGTTGGGTTTAGTAAATATTCACATTACAGTGTTGGTCAGTATAAATCTTTATTACAAGGGGTTGAGTGTAGGATTCCATTTATTACACCAGTGGCCATTGAAAATGTCCCCCTTGCATTGGTATTCAGTGTAGAAATCCCCCTTACATTGGCAGTCAGTATAAAGTCCCCCTTACAATGGTGGTCAGTGTAAATTCTCCCTTACAATGGTGGTCAGCATAGGATTTCCCCTTATATTGATGGCCAGTATAAACTCCTCATCATATTGGTGGTCAGTATAACCCCCTCCCCTTTAAATTGGTAGTTGGTGCAAAATGTTACATGGTGTTCAGGGTAAATTCCTATCACATTGGTGGTTCGTTCAGGGTCTTCCCATAGATTGGTGGTCTGTGTAAATTCCCCATTACATTAGTGGCCAGTTTAAGTTCTCCCCCTTAGGTCAGTGGTCAGTGTATATTCTTCATCATGTTAGTAGTCAGTTTAGAATCCCCCACTACATACAGTATTTGAAAAGGATTTCGAGGTTTGAATTACATGATTCAGAATTTGCCATGTGTAACCACAACAGGTTTCACAGTACTCAGCAAAAAGGTCAGTGGTTAAATGATATTTTCTAAAACATTTATGCCAAAATTGTTTCCAGTGCAATTAGTGGAAGAAATGCCTAACATTATCAATTCTTAAAAATATTCCCTACCTCCTCCTCCTACCTACTCTGTGTTAAAAAAAAAAAAATTACTGTGTACTTATTTTAAATTGCTCCTCTCCATTCACATAATCCTGCATCACCGGCTCCCCGTGGCAGGGAGTGGCTGCTGCAGGGGAGAGGATGGAGCGTGACAACAGCTGGGCTATGGACAATGTCATAGCTCCTGCAATTTCCAGATCATTTTTGAATGCTTCCTGAGCTAAAGCTGCAAGATCACCAGACTGGAGCAGGTTAAAAATTGGTAACTTTACATATCTTTTTTTATATAGGTTAGGCAGGAGAAGGGGGGAGGGAACAGTCATTGTTCGGTGGATAATTTCCCGCCCAACTCCTATGATTTTTAACCTCCCTGGCGGTCTGATTATGTCAGTATTTCTGTGCTCAAAGCGGTACATTTTTTTGCATAGAAATATGTAGTTTTTTCATTGTAGGCCTGTAATTTTTAGGAATAACTCACTGAAATCTGTCCGAGCAAGAGTCTAGTAAACATCCCGGCTATGTTAAAATTTTAAACACGAAATCATAAATTATAATTTAATAAATAATCATAAAAAATAATATGATAATAAATTTAATTCAATAATATAATTAAACCAAAAACACTGAAATTTGAAATATAGCGCCAAGTTCGCACATCACTGAGCAAAGTCGCAAAATCGTTTTCAGTGTCTGATGACGAATTTCCCTACGAATCAGTATCATTCAATTCTGCAAGTAGTTCTAATTTACTATCACTGTGCTCTAGCTGGTCTAAAACCACTTTTGACCTAAAGGGATGCTTTGTGGATGCCATGGACGTTTCTCAGTTTCCAGGCAGAAAGAACAGTAAAAATGCAGGCAGGGCACATGACAAAGCACTAGGGACAAAATGTATGTGAAATGCTTTGATACAGTAATGTTTTACTATGTGATTTTAGTGTATTCAGTGAATGTCCCTTTTTCACATTTTTACATTTCCTGCCGTTCCGTCCCCGTACGTCCCGAAGTCGCAGGGAACGGAACCCAGAAGACAGATGCCGGCATTGGCCGGGGACACTGCAGGAGGGACATCATGGGAGCGAAGGACAAGGTCAGTGAAGAAGAGATCCCGGAGCAGCGCTGCAGGGTATTCCCGAGTGTAGCTTGGGGTTACTGCTTGTGGTGCTGAAACTTTACCCCAAGCTACACTCGGGAATACCTCCAGGGAGGTTAAGCTGTCATTTTTTTTTTTTAGCTGGGTGGTGCCACCCATGGCTCAAATTATGGCTGATTCGTCCAGAGCCTTGTATGGCCAGTTTAAACATTTTATTTTTAATTATTTCAGGTACATATATAGCACCGTCAATTTACGCAGCGCTTTATATATATATTGTACATTCACAACAGTTCCTAACCATCAAGGGGCGTACAATGGAAGGTCCCTAACTTACATTCATACATACACATATTAAGGCCAATTTAGACAGGAGCCAATTAACCTACCAGCATGTCTTTGGAGTGTGGGAGGAAACTGGAGTACCCGGCGGGAAACCATGCAGGCACAAGGAGAACATGCAAACTCCAGGCAGGTGGTGCTGTGGTTGTGACTCGAACCAACGACCCTTGTATAGCCAGCGGAAGTGCTAACCATTTAGTTTTAGCTAGCTAAATAAATATATAACTAATTAGTAATAAACAACTACACCATCTTAGCTATGTTTATATCCTTAATATGATAAATCTTTCTATATATACAGTATTTTAAAGTTAAATTGTTCAATAAGTTAGTGATATGTCTCTTGTAGACCCACTGGGATAGGACATTCATTTAAAATGGGTGTGGGTCTACAAATACATTCTCCACTTACAATGGCTTTCTGGGCACACAGTAAAAATAGGTGTCCCTTGAAATTTTTCTTAAACGCTGGCAACTATGTCACCAAGCATAGGTGAGAAACCTATGTGACACATAATTGTCTACAATCCTGTACATTGAAGTGGTATATTGAATCCTGATAGTGCTAACTTCTGTCAGCTTGTTGTAGAGGATAGAGAAGGTCTAAAACAGAAATGGAATACAGGTAAGTATATATTCAAATATCACTTTGGCTTGTAAACATTCTGTTTCACATAAGATGATACCTAAGATGTATCTCTAGGCAAAATTTTTAGGTGTAGATAGAGTAAGGATTGGTTAAATTCAATGTTATTTTTTCATTATTACTGACTGCGTCCCTGCAGAGAGATTCATCCTCTCTGTTTGTCCTGGTGATCACTGTCAGTGTTTCCTAATAAGTATGTCATAAAACTCTAAAAAAAAAAAAAAAAAAAAAAGAAGCAGCCAATGCCCCTCACTCAATCCTTGGGTTGTTTGTAAAAACTATTACTTTTACAAATTAACTTTTTTTGCGTTTATGGAGAGTAGGTAAGTATTAAAAAAATGCATTCAGTCATAATAGATAAGACTGGTGATTCTAACAGTATACACCCAATGTCACATGTGGACCCCACATCTTTGTGCTGCTATTTTCTCTAAGAGAGGAAACTGGACTTCTGCCTAGTTCAGTCACACAAGAGACACTCACAGATGCATAAGAGGTTAGGTGCTGGGTAATGAGGAACTGGAGTGTGAGAGAGGCACGCAGCAGTGGAGGAGCAGCAGAGGCCTAAGACAGAAGGTGCAGAGATGGCGGAGCTGAGACATACTTTGGATGCTGCGGAGGTTCAAACTGAGAATGCATCAGAAGCTGCAATGATACAGCACAGCATCTGACTCTGAATGCAATGGAAGCTACAGGTGCAACGGGGACTGAGGCTGTGAGTGCAGTGGAGGTTGAAACTGCAGATGCAGCAGAGGTTCTAATGTGGATGCAGCAGACACTATGGGTGCAAAGATTGTGCAGTGGATGCTCAGACTCTGAATGCACCAGGTGCTGCAGAAGCTGTGGGAGCAACTGAGAAGTCACAGTGGCTTAGGTGTCACAGAAGCTGCAAGTGTAGCAGAGGTGCAGCAAAACCCATGCTGCAGCAGGGGCAATGGAGATGTAGCAGAGGTGCAGCGGAAACTGAGACTGTGGTTGCTGTGGAGGTTGCAGGTGTATTGGAAGCTGCTGGACTGCATCAGAGACTGTGAATGTAACTGAGGTACAGCAGAGATGGAGCAGAGACTATGGATGTAGCAAAGGTGTACTGCAGGCGTAGACTGTGGGTGCTACAGAGACTGCAGAAGCAACTGGGGTGCAACAGAGGCTGCATGTGCACTGAAGACTATGGATGCAGCTGAATCCTCGCCAGGTGCAGCAGGCACAAGAACTGTAAATGCTGAGGTCTATACTGACTTTGGTAGCTCATAGGAACATCTTGACTCTATGCCTAATTGGTGACAAAAGGGTTGGTTTCCTAAAGGTAAATAGACTGTGCAATGCAAGTGCAGTTGCTTTATATCCAAGGGGAAGCTCTTAAATGAGACTAAGCTCTTCTGCTTTCTTTCAACCAATCGTGCAAACAAAAATGCTGTTTTTTTATTTTCCTTGCATGTTTCCCTCAGATATGGAGCAACTGCACCTTCGGTGCACTTGCAGTGCAAAGCCTATTTGCCTTTAGTAGATCAACTGTTTTCCATAATAAGCATGGTATTGACACAACTTCAGGTGATCCACATTGGCTCACAATTGATATGATCCAAACATATTTAGACAGAATAAAGGTGAATAAAGCACCTGGACTGGATGGCATACACCTTAAAGATTTGAGCTCTGTCATTTCAAAGCCATTGTTTTCTAATTTTTAGGGACTCTTTAATGACTGGCATAGTAACACTGGATTGGCGTAAGCCAATGTGGTGTCAATATTTAAAATGGGGTCAAAATCTTTACCAATTAATTATAGACCTGTTAGTTTAACTTTTATAGTTGGGAAGATACTGGAGAGTTTAATAAAAGACCACATAGATGAGTTCTTGCTGGAAAAAAATATTTTAAGTAACAGACAGCATGGATTCATGAAAAACAGAAGTTGTCAAACAAATCTGATTCTCTGGTGGAGAAGGATCTGGGAGTTCTGGTTGATCACAAGCTTAATAATGCCATGCAATGCCAAGCTGCGGTTTCTAAAGCGGGCAAAATCCTCTCTTGTATTAAAAGAGGTATAGACTCCAGAGAGAGAGATATCATATTACCCTGGTACAAATCATTAGTAAGACCTCATCTGGAATATGCAGTTCAGTTTTGGGCACCAGTTCACATAAAGAACATTGGGGAACTGGAGAAAGTACAGAGAAGGGCAACCAAACTGATAAGAGGCATGGAGGAGCTCAGCTATGAGGAAAGATTAGAGGAACTGAAGGTATTCTCTCTTGAGAAGAGGAGATTAAGTGGGGATATGATCAACATGTATAAATACATCAGTGGTTCATATAGTGAACTCGGTGTAGAGCTATTCACCCTGAGGTCATCACAGAGGAGAAGGGGGCACTCTTTACATCTGGAGGAAAAGAAATGTAATCTCCAAACACGAAAAGGTTTATTCACAGTGAGAGCTGTGAAAATGTGGAATAGACTGGTTCTGGCCAGCTCAGTGGATTGCTTTAAGAAAGGCCTGGATTCTCTCTTAGATACACAGAATATAACTGGATACTAACATTTATAGGTATAGTTGTTCCAGGGATTATCCGATTGTTTCTCGGGGGATCACGAAGGAATTTTATCACCTGCAGGAGCAAATTGGATTATGCTTTGTTGGGTTTTTTTTTGCCTTCCTCTGGATCAACTGTGGATATAGGAATATAACTTTTTTTAATGGTTGAACTGGAAGGACTTTTGCCTTTTTTCAGCCAGACTAACTATGTAACCCCAGAGTGTCCTGCTTGAGTTTAAAAGGGAGATTTAGTCAAATGATGCATCATTTAATGTGGTTGCAACATTCCAGATAAAACCTGGAAGTGGCCATGGCCACTAGACAGTAAAGAGACTCTGGAGCTGGATCACGACATGACATGACACCGCCCCATTCTCCCTTACATGTTCTCCCCCTTCTATTAAAAAAGGTATATTTTATGATATGTATGTATTTGTTGGATATTTCTGCACCTACCCTGGAGACAGGGAGAGAAGAAGAGAAACAAACCCCAAAAGGGACACAGACAGCAAAAAGGACCCAGTGGATGTTGTAACCTTTCTTTTATCTATACAAAAAAGATTTAGTTTGAGTTGCCTTTTACAAAGCTTGTACAGAAATTTCCACCTGTTATACAAAATATGAGAGAAAGTCTTCTGGTCTATGGGTTGAACTATATGGCAATTTAAATTTTTTCCCCCCAACAATTTTTCTTCCAGTATACAATCTTCTTAGAGAGTAAATGGGGTTTTAGTGTTGCATTTTGAACCTTAGAAGAAGCTGGTAGACCCCAAAAGCTTGTCTGAAAATGTAACTGCAAGTTCAAATAGAAAAAGTATTACAGACAGAATGCCGTTGTATAATTCCAAATACCAGTAAGATATGTCCATTTTCTCTGCAAATACATTAAACTTTAAACTCGCTAAAGTCAGTGCCAAAACTTTATAAGCCTTTATCTTTCAAAAAGCTTTTCCTTTGGAAACAGGTTACAGTCGTGCATAATGACAAAACTGTCTTTTCTAAACTTCTCAGAATGTTTTATTGAAAGGCTGGAGCTAGGTACAGAAACAAGAATGCATCTCACCTTACATATCTCTGTGGGGGTAGTTTTATGAAATAATTCAACTCCTTGCTGCAGTTATTCCCTGATAGGAGTAAATGAATTAAAAAGTGGAAGGATTTTAATAGATAAAATTCATTAGGAAATCGTTAATTTATTGATTTCAATAATCCTGTTGACTTTATAGAGAACAAAAATTTTATTACATAAAGATAGTCACCCACCACACATTTTTTTTTAGAAACTGGAAGGATTATGCCAAGTTCCATTTACTTCTATAAACAAAAACCATGCCAATGTCTATGTAAAACTTCTATATGATGACGACGATGGAATCAGATGACACTACAATTGCGTACAAAATGTGTACCATTGTGGAACCTTGGTCATAGAACATACTGTATCACTGGTTTCCTGGCCTAAAGGTAAAAAAGCAGGTGTTAGTTGTCACGTTATGCAAAGGTGAAAACACTTAACAAACCACAATGTTTTTCTTTCAAAATGCTAGCCAGTAAATGTGGTGAGCAGTATATTTACAAACGTGTAATAAAAACACAATGGGC